ATTAATCAATAATATACAATAAGATATGAAAATGAAAATGAAAAAATTATATGCTTTTTTGGTGGGGAAAAAAAAAAAAAAAAAAAGGAAAATAAGATTAACATATTTATATTTGTTTTTTCCAGGATAGTCTCTTTTTTTACCTCGTACAAATAAATATTTTTAAGTAAATTTTTCATGTAACTTTATTTATCAAACACATTGTCAGGTTCAATTAAGTTCATTTATTTATATGGTATAATATTAATTAGAATAATATTAGAATGGATGTGCTATAATGAAAACCACGTTACATTAATTAACAAAAGCTTATGAATATGTCACAATAAAAATTTTGGGGGGTGATACAATCATAAAAAGCCTTTTATGATGTTTTTGCGGTTCTGAAACAGGAATAAATGCGATCAAAATTAATATTATTGAATCTTTTTTTTTTATAAAAAAAAAAGGGCTTGCATTAAAAAAAAAAAAAAAAAGTAGGTTGAATGAATAAATAAAAGGGGGTATCACGATGAAGAAGAAGAAAAAAAGATTAAATTGGAAAAAATTATTGTATATCTTATATTTAAGAAAAAGACGAATAATTATTTTAACTGCATTTTGTAATGACTCGTATTAATTAATGAAAAATGAAGATTGGGGCTTTAAAATGCTATTAATAGATTGGCTTGAGCCTTATGAACCGGTTTCTTTAGGAATAAATGAGTTATTTATTCTAAACAGAATCATTTTAATCACTTTTCTTTATTCTATTGTTTAATGTATTAAGGTGTTTAATAATCAATTTGCATCGAATATCGGATGTTTGATGTGTAAATCCCATTTAATAAACACTTTTTTTGGACAATATTAATTAAAGTTGCCGAATTGTAATGTTTTAAAGAGGTCAAGAAAAAGAAAATTTGGACTATTAATGGTAAAAGGCAATAATATGGTTAAGAATTTATAGTTATTAAAACTTTATTCCTTAAATTCTTTTGGAGCAGCTACCAAAAGAACCACGAAACGGTTTATGAGATACAATCTAAACTATTTTCGGTAACCTTATTTAAAACTATTTTGGGAAAACGGGTGTGATTTCATACATCGAAAATTTTTCGAAGAAATAAAATAGATAGATACCGATAATTTCATGAAATTAAGGTTTGGGTAAAACGTTTTTCTGAGTTAACTCATGATAATCTAGAATTAACTACCATGATGCAGTTCATTTTTCTTTGTCATACTTACTGTGCTTTTTAATTTTTAATAAAGATTGCATGCATTTTTGGGGGGACCTTATCAACCGACTATCAAAATTTTGTTTTAACACCATCAAGTTATTTAGACAATAAACTAATTTTAATATTGGTTTTAGAATTAAATGTTACTATGAGTGAAAGACTTTTTGCTACTAATTTAATGAAAATCCAAACATTAAATGTGTACACTCTTTTTCTTTAAATAAAAGAGTTGAATACAAATCGTTAGCGACCGGGATTTACCAAATTTACCATTGGTCAGTCATTATTGGAATAACGTACCTCAAAGAAGATTGTGTTTCTTATGTGTCCGCTCCTTGAAATAAAAACGTACCAATGAAAGAAAAACATGAATAAACCATTAAATGCTATCTTAATAAAAAAAAAATATCTTCGTTTTATTCTAATAATAATAAAAAATCCTCGCAATATATAACAATTTTAGCAATTATTATTATTAAATCTTTATACTCGCTAAGCGTCCAGTATTCGTTAACCCTTTCCGCCGTGTTACCATAATTTGTCCACCTATAAAGAGATTCCCTTTGAACTCACTCGGTGGCCAATTAGCAGACAACGAATTGCTTCGTTTAATTCAGAAGGTTTTCTGGGACACAACAAGATTTATTAATTAGTAGGAGAGATCTTCAAGTGTTGTTAAAATAATCGGCAAAAATCATATGCAAGCACAAAATCTTACTTTTCCTCATTTGGCTTACAAACTTTGAAGTGAGTTCGTTTATAGATGATTTTTCACCCCTTTACAAATCACCAAAAATGTTTATCATGATAATGTCCGAGTATGTCCGGGATCAGACAGCGGACATTTAACTAAAAAAGAAAATGTACATTTAAAGCAAAACTAATCACATACGACTCTTCAAAAAAGATATACACATATTTATATAAAAGAACTATCAATTCACTCCATTGGTTTGGTTAACTAAATTATAATTTGGTAATAATTATTTTTTAATTAAAAGCAAAGTTACAACAAAAGTATTCATTATAATACTTTCTTATATAAATATGTAGAATAAAAATTTGGTTACCGTTACCGTAAACAGCTGACTAAAGTACCCCCTAACTATTGTACTCTCCCCACATTTTTGAAGTCGAAAAATGTATGATTCATACCTCGGATACAATACACTAAGTTTAATGTATTGTACCCGGGAGTACAATACTTAGTATTTTAGCAAATATTATTGTACCCTATGATCTGATCAAATAGACCCCCCCAAAATTTGAGAATTTGTTTGGTATCTTAGTCGCAAAAGTACCACCAGGTGCTATTTTCTTGAACCACTAATATGCGGCTTGCCGATCATATATATTCTATTATGATTTATAATAGGATCGGCATAGTGCATGAATAGGATCGACAAGTGGCTCAAGAAAATAGTATCCATCTGGTGGTATAAGAACGATACATTTGCATCTTAGTCAGCTGTTTACGGTATGTTTATTTAATTTTATATATATTAGCTAATGCATTTATTTAGTAAAAAATAAATACATTATTAAAATAACCTAATAAAATTTTATAATAAGAATATGAATTACTAACTAATTTAAGAAATTTATTATAAATATCTTTCGCTACAATATTTCATATCATACGCAGGGCGGTTACTAATAGGCTTGGGCAGTAATCCTCGTCCTTTCTCAATATACACATTGATAACAACTGACATATTTAGCGTATTGAGTTATTAGAATTTTGAGTGTTTAAGCGGTTCTTGTAATGTTTTTATTGATTTATAGAAATTTTAACAAGATTGTACTATAAAATATTAATGCGACGCGATTTATAGTACTTGTACCAAGATTATACTCTACTAAATTCGAATTCATTTTTTGTTTTTTTTTGGGTTTAAGTGAAGAAAAAATGAGTTATATTTCATTGCATCTTGTAGATACTATAAACATAAATTTCGCATTTGTAATTTTTTAAATTCGCACTGCGCTCTACCTAATATGTAAGAATCATATGTCTGGAGGAATCAAAAGAATTCCCACGCTTTAAACTTGGTCATCTGCGCCACCATATGTGATGTATGTAATATTTATGGTGTCAGCGCTTTAGATAAATGATCTCGCCTGGGTGGAACCACAGACGAGTTCACCGGTGATGTTGCAGGCGAACCCATATATCATGAATATCCGAAAAAAAGGACGATTAGATTTATGTGTATAAAACAGCTTAAGATCTCATCTCAGGAATCAGAATCAACGAACACTCAAATTGATATCAGAAAATATGCAAGGCCAAGATATCTTCTAAATTTGAAATATTCGGCCAATATAATTCAAATTTCGAGTCATTGACTTATGACTTATCCCATTCATCATACCATGCGAAAAATTGATTGTTTGCAATCATTTGAATCATAGAATATAAGCATCTTATCTAATAAAAGGTATTTACATATTATTTTTTCAGTGTATATGACAAATAAAGGTGCACTATCGTTTTCAGTCAGTGTGCGGAGACCTGCCTCCATTATATATGTATTCAATTTATCCAAGCTTTGTCCTATAAGGCATTATACATTCCGGTTAGTTTACAAAAACTAAACAAGTCACATAAAGGTGTAAATAGAAGGAATTCTAGCATAGTTCGATTTAATAATGCTACATTGTAACGGTTTGTTGGTAATTGAAACCCTAAACTTCTCTATACACAAATATCCCTTTATATGGCACAGTCCTCTCGTAAACAAATGCAGTATGACCTATAGTCATTTGGTTAATAACAAAGCATGCACAGAAACATAACAAAAGAAATAACAGACTACCATCATATTGAAAATACTTACCGTAAATTTGTAAACCATATAGCTTTAATAAGCTTAAACTCTACCCTACTGCGATTCTTCTCATCATCTTTTATTAGATCATAATCTTCCGCTGATGCAATAAGAATGTCTCGCCACTTAATAGATTAAATTTTTTATTAGGGTATAACAAGCCTTAGAATGCATACTGTTTGTCACTTACAAGAAAACCTTCATATCCTCACATAATTTTTGAAATAAGCTTCGCATGATTGGTGTGAAAAAGGCTTCATGGTACATATGCTTTCGGATAAATGGTTGTAATAAACATCAATAAAATGTTAAGCATATTGGTAAGGCCAAAGACAATACATACTTTATGTACAAGATCTGAAACAGCCAGTGATTGTAATTTTGCAAGATGTTCATCCCATATCAAATTATTCGCGGAATCGACACCAGAAGTCTTAGATTGCTTAATTGATTGTCTTCTTTGCCACACATGTTATAATGGGGCCTACGGCCCAGACTATAACATGCTTCCCACTTCAGGCAACAACGCACGTTACCTTGTGTAAAAAATCACCCAGAACATGACTTCGAGGGATGGTAATGTGCTCCTATCATCCTATCATGAAATATAATAAGAAAAGCACTGACCTTCAGAGTTTTTTTCTTCTATAGTACATCCAGGATTCTTGTCGATAAAATAAAGATCCCAGTCGCACAAACTTTCCCATTGGTTTTATATCATTACTCTAGTACTCTAGAAATACTTTTTTTATCGGCATCATTAAATGTACTATATAAATATTTTTTTAAAAATAAGTATCACGTGATAAATACAGTTGCGGAACAGGTTGACAACCGTTTATCACGTGATAAAATCTGATCAAAAAATAAAAAATTTGTTCGAGGAATACATTTTCAACCTACAATACAATACCTACGATATCATATCATATAGACAAAAGAATTAATGGATAATTTAGCAATATTAACGGAAGGGAGTAAAGTATATGCGAAAAAACGAAAAAATAGAATCGAGCAAGTACCGGAGGTTGTATTTGACGAAACGGCAAGACGGTATTAACGTATTAAATTCTTTTATTAACATTGAGGGAAAAATTAAATGGTAAATTTATTTACTATATATAATTGATTATTTTACAGAGATTTCTTAACTGGTTTTCATAAAAGGAAGTTAGAAAGGAAAGCAAAAGCAAGAGAAGCTTCCTTACAACTTGCTAAACAAGAGAGGTCAAAGGCAAGAAAAGCTGTATGTTTAAGTTTTTTTTTTTTAATTTAATTCCAAAATCCGTGATTATATATATGCGTATATTCTTCTTTATCATTATAGTTCATTTGATATATATATAATTTTTTAAAAATTAGGCAAGGGAGTCCGTAAAAGAACAAGTAAGGCAGAGGTTAAACAAACTTCAAGAAATTATTAATAGTAAGTAAATTAATGAAATTTCAGTATATGAATATATACGTTATAGAAAAGGATTATGTTAATAATATTTTAAAGAAAGGAACGGAATCATTGGACAAACTGATGCTAATGAAAGTGAAGATGATGAAGAAGGAGCAAGTGAAGATATCACACAAGAATCTAACGTAACTCAGTCAGAATTCAGGTCTGCTGATTTGATGACTACAGTAACAATCATTGAAGATTTTAATATTTCGGATATTTTGGAGAATGTTTCGAAGAAACCACGAATCGATGAAGAAGTCATGGTATACACCGCTTCTTTTTTCTTACCATTTATAAATCATTTGATAAAGGAGTAGTACTAATAATTACTTTACCTATTAGGATCATAAAGCAATTTCACCTGTACCAATACCAACAAAAAGTTTGGAACCTAAATCTATAAGGTATATATATAAAGAGACGAAATATAACATTATAAATAAAAAAAATAGATTCTAATTTTTTTTAAAACTTTCTTTTTTTAGTGTAAAAAAGAAATCAAAAATTGAAGTTAAGAAAAAACGTCAACCAAGAAATAAAACTTCAAATAAAACACGTTCCAAAACAAAATCGGTTCATTCTTCAAATTCCAGACGAAAGAAAAGAAAATAGGTAATGGTTGTTTTAAGGTCGTTCTTATCATACATATCGAAAATATAAAAACCTGTAATGACCACTAAAATTTACGAGTAATCTCCTTTAACGGACAAATCATCTTAATTAAATCACTGGTAAGTAAATATATATATTATTTTAAAAAATAAATTTAATGATGAGAGTTTTGGCGTATTTTGATATCCTGAATTATCATGTGGATTCAACGTAAAACAATTTACAGGGATTCCTCGTTTCTGATTAAAAAAAAAATGATATTTCTTTTCGTTTTTTAGTCTCGTCTTTTGAATTATAACTAATACATTTCTATATATTTATATTAAAAAAAAAACCCCCCCCCAAAAATTAAATAAATATTAAATTTATCAAGATGAAAGATTTTATTAATTAATTTGATTAATTTCGTTAATTATTATTAATTTAATAATATATCAACAAATGAATCCTTGATAGGAATTCCCATGGAAGCATATGTTAATCACCGCTGATGACTGTAAATTTGATATTGAAATGACTAAATAGAAGATAACTATACTATACTAAAAGCAACCCATAAACTCTATAGCAAGAAATGCAATAAAACTAGCTAAACAAATTCAAAAAAAATAATAATAATAAAAAAACATAACTACTTATACCGTTTATTCTTCTTCTTCCGAATCGTCCACACTATCTTTTTCCATTGATTCACATGTAGATTTTTCATCCTGAATCTTTTGTTTGTAATAAGGATGAAATTCATTCCAAGGTAACAAAAAACTGAAACGAGGATCGTCTATATGTTTTTCTCGAACTTTAGCTTCGAGGGATTGCCCATTTTTGGCAACGTATGCAGACATTTTGTCGACAATAACTTTGAGATCTGGTGGTGGCACTCTAAAATAACGATAATGGTTATTATTCCATAATTAAAAATATATAATTCATTCTTCTTTTTAAAGAAAATTTGTAAACTTGTATGCATACACAATAGGACCAAAAGGTTGAGGCGGTCTTGAAGGTCTGGGAGTTGTATTTTGATTCTGTGAAGGAATTGATTCATGGTTTCTCACAATAGACGTAGTAGTCTCTAATATAGATCTTTTTAACTCGAATTTTTTATCTGCCCTCTCTTCTTTAATATTATCATTCCTTTCAGACTTGTCATTAGATAAGCCATTACCGTTTTCAAATTTTCCTTCATTGCTAGACGAATCTTCTTGATCATCACTTCCCCCATAAGCAAAAAGTCCAGTTTGCAATAATAAACGTACATGTTTATAATATGGATATAACGGATCATCCTTATTTAGAAAGGAAAAGCTTGGATTGTTGGCTTGCTTAGCCTGAATAACAATCTCCATTTGAGGATCCGTACTAGAATTAAGAAACTTTGCGGTACGTTCAATGATCTCATCAATCCGATGATCAAAAGGCTGAATATAAATGAAAGTTGATATACCAAATAAGTTCTTATAATATGAATCAATGCCAATCTATATCCTGCAAATATTGTCATATACCGTGATCATTCCATTGGGAGCAGAATACTTTGGAGTATAATCGGGTTTTGGAACTGGCACAGCCTTCACTTCTAAAAATGATACTTGTTTACATGAATAAATGCTACTCATTATATAATACGTTCATTGACATTTTTTGAAGTTTAAATTAAAAATTATACCATAATGCGGATTTTCATCCGAATAACTGTAGTTGTATTCTCTATTTTCTTCTTGCATTTTTTTACGTTTCCTTTTCTCTTCTGCAATAATTCAAATATTATATATATATATATATATATTAAATTGAGAATTAACAAAAATTAAATTATAAGTCGATCGATTGTATCATACCAACATAACCGTCCCTTTCTTCTTCAGACATGTCATATAAATCCTCAAATTCTGAATCTAAATCAGCCCATCTTTCTTCATCACAGAGTTTCTCCTGCTCAATGTCTTGTTCTGATTTCCTTGTCATTGTATAAGCAACTTTTTTGAATTGATCACGGTCATCAAGCAGGTTTCTTACATCATATCTGCAAACAACGCGTTCGAGGAAAATCATAAAATTAGCCAATAATCTTTGATCAATTTTTGACCTTCTCATAGGTCAAAGAATTCTTTTTGTTTCCCCTTGGTTTTCTCGTTGCTCGTATATACCATAATATGCTATTGTGAGAAACCGTCTTTAATTCCTTCGTTTGATGTTTGTGTTGGGAAACACTTTCTAACTTAAATATAGTATTTCATTTCAAGAGAAACTTTATATAATACCTTTAACTCTAAAAAAGGTTAGTGTATAATGAAAAGTACAGTAAAAACGACATATTATGGTCGGCAAGACGCCATATATGATGCGTTTTTTTTTTTTTTTTTTTTTTTAAAAAAAAAAATTATAATTTATAATGAGCCGACTTTTTTAGTTATGTGAAGCTCACCTATCTAATAAAATTTTATTTTCGGTTTCACCCCTCCAAGGTATTAACAAATCTCCGTTGTTAACCTTATGCGCCATTTCGTCGTCACGAAAAGTTTTGGCTTCATAACCAAATACTAATAAGTCTGTATAATCTTGAGAATTTGTTCGTTGTTTTTTACGTGGATGCTTGTGTCTTCGTGATTTATTATTAAATTTTGAAGAAGAAGGAGGCTCTGACCAATTATTTGAAGGTTTTTGTTCTGTTTGAGAAGGCTCTGGTAAAAGAGTTTCGCTAAAAAACATAATTGAAAGTGTGATGTCAAAAAAAAGAAGAAAATGGATATTTTTATCTATGGAATATATGGTGACACGATCTATTTTGGGAATTCCGCAGTTCTACTTTTTCAGGCGTTAGTAGTACAATTCTCAACTCGTCTTTTATGAATGATATCTATGAGCCTCGTTAAAGCAATTAAGCCACTAATATCTTAAAAATAAAATTTAACCTGGTGAATGACTCCTCCAAACACAGGGCAATTGAGTATTTTAAGGCGATTATTTTACAATTCATAGAGGAATGTAATTGAAGTTTCATGATTAAGTCATCTAAAAATATCAAAATTGTGATTGTAATAAAATCCACCCACTTATTTATATTTAAGAATCCTTATCCTAGATTTGGCAAAACAGGTTTATTAGGTTCGCTCCAAGCTTATATCCTGTTTTTTTGACATTTTTCACTTCCCCTTATATGTCACTGAACTCGTGAGATTAAGTCGGGTACTGATCTTGAATAACTGGTTTCTGTTTGAGGCCGCAATACTTATTTACGCATTTGGAATTATAACAAAGTTTAATTTACATTGCCATATTGTTAAAAAAAAAAAAAAAAAGGCCTTAAATTGCTGCAGGTTTCAAAATCGATATTATGATTGTTATCGGCAAGAAATGAACATTCATTCCTTTTCAATTCACATATCATCATTTAGTTGTTTGAGATTGTAGTGATAAAGTTGTATTATAATATTTATAGGGCAAATTGTATTTTTTTTCACGTTGAATAATTCGAATAAAAAATACAAAAAAATTTATAGATCTGATATTCTAGAAAAAATTAAACCTTTTAAATAAATTACCTGAAGTATTCTAGAATTAACAACATAAAAATCTTGAATCTATTGAAAGAAATATATTACCGTCAAAGTAGTATCAGGGAAGAAAAAACGCTGTTTCTTAAGTTTCGACTATAAAAACCAACGATTTATAATTATTGATGATGTCTCGCTAAATATTTTTATATTTTTCCCAAATTAAATATATGAATTATGATAAATGTTTGCCTGCTCGTATTAAAATAGAAAACCAATAAAACCAATTTAGCATATAAATATAAATTAAAAGAAAATTAAAACGATATAAATAGGATTATGCTAAAAAAAGCCAGAAATAACAATTGATGGTGGTTTATTATAAAAATGTACAAAATAGAAATTACTTTTGCAATTGTTAATAATTTTTTTTTAATAAAAACTTTATTTATATTATAACCATTTTTTAAACATTACGAAAACTTTATTTAATATACATTTTTGTTT